GGAGGAGGAGGAGCAGCGGCCGGTCGCCTTTTCCCCGCCGGCTTTCTGCGGCAGACGCTGGGACAACACCTGCCTCGTCACCAAGTCGCAGGCCAGCGTGAAGAGCAGAGGCAGACAGATGTAGCACCCGAAGAACCACCACATGCGGGCCTCGTGGTAGGTCAGCACCAGAGAGTAGATGCTGTCTGGGAGCTCCGCCGACGGCTCGCGGACGCAGACATCCACCTTCAGTTTGTCTGTCCGGGCCCTGAAGGCCGCCATCAGCGAGCCCCCGGGCTGGCTCTGCTGCAGGTCGCTGGGGAGCGTCGGCAGACTGACGGTCTCCTGGAGGAGCTGCCACAGCAGCAGCTCGGGGGCGGCCAGCACCAACGAGCCCAGCCAGATGACGGACAGCTTGGACAGGATGGACTGGCAGGGCTCCACCTTCGGCGTCTGAAGGGGCCCGGGGCCGGTGGCCGCGTGGAAACGGTCGATACTCAGAGCACAGAGGCTGAAGGTGGCCACGCCCAGAGAGGTGACCTGGTGGAGGAGCACAGAGAGGGTTTATTGATCAGGTATCAGCTGTTAATATGAACTGTAAGGCTGTCGAATGAGGAAGAAGATCAGTGTCATGTTTCAGTGTGTGACGATGATTAAAACTTCTCCACCGATATTGGATTATATAACTTTCTATTTTTCATAGTTAGCTGCTCAGTTACGTTTGTTAAAAACATCTGCTTATAAATTTAACTCGTATAACTAAACTTAAAGGTCTCTGAACGTCTTTGCTTTCCGACAGTCTCAGTTCGAGCTGAATTGATTAGTTTGTTGATCAATCAATCGACAGAAAGGAATTATTAAAAAACGTGGACCGTCCTCCAGTTCCAGCCTCTAAAACGTGAAGATTCGCTGATTTTCTCTGTTTTAAATCAGTGTAAAGTGAACATCTTTGGGTTTTGGGCGGTCGGTCGAGAAAACAATCTGCTGATTAATCGATAACTCTACTTGCAGCCATCGTCTGTGCGAGGAATCAAATTGAAAGTGGATAAATATTAAACTTGTGTGCAGAACCTGGTGATCCGCCTGCAGCGGTTTAATCCATCACAAACATCTCGATGTAATCGTTGACTTTGAAGCTCTGCGATCCTCCTCACATCTTCTCACCTCATATTTTAAATCCACAGGCTGTTGAACCTTTTACTACTTCTTTAATCAAACAAACAAAAAAAAGAAGAAAACTTTGATATTTTCTAACACAGTTGTTCATGTTTTACACTGATGATTCAACCAGGAGCTCCAACTGTGAATCCTCTAACACTGTTGTGAATACATTAGTGGTCCAACGGCTGATTGGTCTCAAATGTTCTTATTTATGATTAATAACTGAAAGAAAATACGTCAAAGGTCATTAATTTTATGAAAAAGTCCCACTTCAAATGGTAAATTTCAGAAACTCTGGTCCTGTTAGTGACACCTACCTCTTCTTTTAAAAAAACATTCAAACCATTTAACAGTTTTTATAATTCAATATGACTTTTTACTGTTGCAGAGCTGCAGGAAGTCCCTCGCACTGTTTTAATTCATGCTGCTGACTCCAGTCAGACGTGACCTGTGAGCACAACGGAGAACAAAACAGTTCCTGCAGTTGGTCTACAATGAGCACAGGAAGGTGTTTTGTTGCCTGAAGAACAAATTTAAGGCTTTGAATTAACCACAACTACAGTAATAAGACGTTTAATTGTGAAAACAGCTTCAGAATACAGAAACAGGGAAACAAAAGGATGCTGCAGACTGGGGGACGGTTATTGGACTGGGAGAAATGCCCAAATGTCAAGTAATTGCAGCAGAATATAACTGAGGACAACCAGGAAACTCAGACGGATAAATATATAAAATAATTGATTTTTTAGTTTATTTTAATTTTAATATATTATTATTATTATTTTTTAAACTATTTTATTTATTTATTTTTATTTTAATATATTATTTTTAATATTTATTTATTTTTTAACTTACTATTTATTATTTATTTTATTTTAAAAAAATTATATTATTTTATATTATTAATTATTTTTAACACTTACTAACTATTTTATTTATTTATTTTAATTTTTTAATATACTATTTTCATTTTCTAACACACACACACACGCTTACTACTGTTTTAATGACATTTTTAGTAAATTGATTGATTGTGATTAATTACTTATTGATTGTGATTGAGTACAGTATTACCAACAGTACAGATTATAATTAATGTATTGTAAATATCGTTTTCCTTTATTGTTATCATCATTAATTCCAAACGCTTGCTTTGTCAGTATGTACAGAGTTACTTCATACCAATAAATCCATTTGAATTGACTTATTGGAGCCTCGTGCACATTAAAGTCTGTGGTTTTGGCCCAAAACGCAGACTATCATTACAGAGACTTGTCCTCCCTCTGTGGGGGCTTAATGACCTCAAACTGAAGATAATTAACACAGAGCTGTAATTAGCATGAGAACAGTTGAACTAACAGAGCACAGGGGCAGCTGGCAGCCTGACCTGCTTTCAGCGCGGCTCAATACAACGCTCGGGGTGCAAAACGCTCAATGGCACTTTAAAAACGTTAAATAATTAACAAGAAATACATTCATTAATTAGCATAAAAATAGGTAAAGCGACAGAGAATAGAGGAGGCTGGCAGCCCGACCTCGTTAAGACTGCTGCACACAAGCTGCTATTACAAATTAGTAGATCTCCACTTCAGTGATTTAGAGCTGTGGAGGCGCACGGAGCTGGTTTAGAGCCAAAAACGAGTCCGGCAGAGTCCGGCAGAGTCCACGTGAGTACAAGAGACGGATGGAGCCAATGAAAACTTAACAATGAGTAACCGAGAGGCTGCAGCAGCTCCACGTTATCAGATCTAAGCTTTTAACTTCACTAAAGTCATCCTGGAGCTGCAACAGTTAGCTGATGGTCAGAAAAACTGTTTACTTAATCGTTTAAAAGTAATATTTCAGGCAAACGTGGCTGTTTTCA